TATAGGACGATAAAGCTAACGAAGCTTTTAAATATATTAAGAATACGATTATATAAAAACTAGTCTTAACTCCCTTTAATCTAAAATAATAAATCGAACTTAAAACCGATATATTAAACTTTACTTTAAGAGTATAAATCGGATAAAAGGATAATAAAGGAAGACTATAACTAATTATATTCTACTTAAAAAAGCTCTATAGTATAAAACTTAATTACCCTATCTATAATAAAAAATTCCTTATAATTATTTAAGCTTCTAAGGAATTTTAATACTACTTTCTTAAAAGTAAGTATAAAGTTAAGGTCTATATAAATTATAAAAATATCTTATACTTTATAATAATATAATAGTTAAGTAGACGATAGATCTAAGAAGCTAAATATTTATTAGAATTCGACTATAAAATAATCTATAGAAAAGGAATAGAAAATAGTTAAGCTAATACCTTTAGTCGATAAAGTAACTATAACGTAAGAGTACCTATAGTAAAAGAATAGCTCTTAGAAATTAACGAAAACGGAAACTACTAGTAATAATAGCTAAATATAATATTTAAAGTATAACCTAATAACTTAATATACTAAAAGATCCTAAAATAAATAAAAGAATATAAAGTACTAAACGGATATAATATAGAATATTTAAAAGTTCTAATATATAAAAGTAAAATCTAGATACTACTAGAATTATAAGATAAAGTTATATAAGATATATATAAATATTTAATATATAGATATTAAGGAATCTAAAGAATAATAAAATAGATTAAATAATAATATAACTTCTTATAGCTTAAAGAAGTAGTATAATAAGTTATTAAAGAATATAAACTTTATATATAAGGTAAAGCTAAACGATATAAGCTAAATAAAGAATTATAACCGCTACTAGTACTAGAGAAACTATAGGATTTAATAGCTTAACTATATTATAAAGCTACTACTAGTAAAGAACCTATAACTAACGTTAAGTATAATAGTATATTTATTATTACTAATAGATTAATAAAGTATAAAAAAGTAAGTAATATAAAAGAGCTAGTATATATATTCCTATAAATAATTATTAGTAATTATAGACTACTAAATAAGATTATCTTTAATAAAAGAAGTATATTTATAGCTAAGTTTTAATAAGCTCTTATAGTATAATTAAGGACGAAATATAAGCTTAGTATAGCTTATTACCTATAAATAAATAGATAAATAGAACGACTTAACTAAACGCTTAAATAATATTTATAATACTATATTAGCTATAAATAAAACGATTAAATTAAATAGCTATTAATAGTATAACTAGCTTATAATAGCTTAGTTATAAAAATAACTAAGCTCTTACTAGTATATACTAATTATAGATATAACCTGGAAGTATTTAAGGTTACTTAATAAGGACTATAAGTAAAATAAGCGATACTATAAGTAGATTAGCTATAAAAATTATATAAAGAAATATAATAAGAACTTTAATTTATTAAAGAACGAATACCTACTTACTATAATTAGAAAGGATTATAGGGACTAATCTTTTAAGAGGGAGATATAGTCTACCTTATATAATAAAATATTAAAATAAAACGATTAAGTAATAAATTAGATTTTAAGAAACTTAGACTATTTAAGGTTAAGAAAACTATTTTAAAAGTTAACTATAAACTTTCGCTACTAACGATAATATAGATATACCTAATATTTTATATCTTATTATTAAAACTAGTACTATAAAATACTAAACTATAGGAAAAAATTAAAGTTAATAATAATTAAGAATATAAAGTAAAATAAATACTAAATATAAGAAAATAAAGTTAGTAATAAAAATACCTTATTAAGTAAAAGGGATATAAACTAAAAGAAAATACTTAGGAACTACTTAAGTACTTAACTTACTATAGTTCTTTACTTTAATAGTTCTATTAGTAAAATCTACCCTAGGTATCGTAAAATCGCTTAATAAACTAATAGTATTTTAATTAATTATATTAAATCTACCTATAAACTAAATATTAACTACCGCTTTAGATTCTTAGCGCTTAGCCTTATTAAGGTTATCTAAGGAATAAAGGCCTTAATAGACTATCTTAGTACCCTTTATCTTTAGCTAGCGCTTTTAATAGTAAAGCCGCGCTAAACGAGCTAAGGCTTTATTTAGGTTAGCTTAAGCTTTTAATATTCGCTCTTTAGTAATTTCTTTTTCTTTATCTAATCGATTAGACTCTAGATTTATTCGGGATACTAGGAAACACGTTAGCTATAAATAATAAGTAGGATAATAAAGCTACCTACGGGAGCTAATCGCTATACCTAACGTATTATAGGAACGACCCCGCTATATATATTCGGTATACTTAGAAGATTTCTCTAGTATTTTATAGTAAAAGCCGCGCGACGAATAAAAAGAATATAGTATAATATCGAAACTAAGATAATTAATAGACTTAGCTAAATAATTAAGCTTAAGGGTCTTATAAGAACGATCCTTTAATATATAACTAAATATACTATTAGTAGTATATCCTAAGGGATAGAAAGGACGAAATAGGAAATATATATATACGTAATAAGGGTATATTTATATACGGCGGCTAAGGTAGTAGTAGGTCTTATAGATAAGATTAAAAGGAAGGGAGATATCGTATTATAACTATAGTTAGCGGGCTATAAGAGAGCCGGCTATATTTATATAATAAGGCAGCTTAGAATAATAGTTAGGACGAGAAGTTACTTAGGCTTAGCTTACCTAGAATATATATAAGCTAAGTAAGCTTTATATAAATAGATTACTACTTAGGAGTATAGCTTATAATTAAGCTATAGTAAGCTATAAAGGGGATTATAGCTAGGACCGTAATCTAAGAATAGTCTTTATAGGTATATATAGCTACCTACTTTTACTCCTTTAAATAGATAGCTCTTTAGCTTTTAATATAGATCTTTATTAGGATTCTATCTCTAATTTTAATTACCTAGTTATAGCCTATAGTCTATAACCTCCGACTTATTACTAATATAATATATATATTATTGCTTAGACCACGCCCTATTATATCTACTAATATAAACCCCTTAATAGGTTTATCCCTTAGGAATAATACCGGTCTTTATACTTCTTTAATTCTAGGCTCTTATTTAAATAATATATTAAGAAGAAGGTAGCCTCTATATAAGCTACCTTTAAAAGACTATCCTAATATAAAAAGGCCTATTATTTAAAGCCTTTAAATAGCTCTACTAGGCCTATATAACCTCTATAGTAAGCTATAGGCCTAGCTTTAATATAGGGCCTAAGACCCTAAGAGCCTTAAAGCCTCTTAAAAGCTATAAAACTAAGCTCTTTTAAAGGTCTTAGGCCTTTAAAGGATCCCCTATTAGGGCTTTAAAGCTAAAGGGCCTACTACTACTAGAGGTACGATTTAGGGTATACTTCTCTTACGCCCTTTATACCTATACTTCTTACCTAGTTACCTTATAAGGTAGGCTTATAACCTAGCTATATAAGATAACCTCGCTAACTTAAGCTTTAACCTAAGGGCCTTAAGCTATATTAGGCTATATATATAGCTCTTCCGCCTCTTTAAAGGCTAAGTAGCCCTTATAAGACCTAATTATAACTTAGAAAGAAGGAAAGCTAGCTAGGAGCCCTTATAGGCCCTAGAGCTTAAGGCCTTTATTATAATAATTAAGGCCCTTAAGCCCTTAGCTAAGAAGTAATATTAACGCCTCTTAGCTAGCTTAGCTAGCTTATAAGACTTTAGGTTATAGCCCTTAGCCTTTTATACCGACGGCTCTAAGGGGTGCCTTAAGAGATCCCCTATAAAGACTAACGCTTACTCTTTTTATAAAATAGGCCTAAAAAGGCATACTATAAGAACCTAGGGCCCTTAATCGAAGTAGCTAATATAGAGCTATTCGCGATACTAAGGGTCTTAAAGGACCTAGCTAAGAGGCCTCGGCCTTTAAAGCTTAGCCCTCTTAACCCCCTTATAAATACCTATATCTTTATAGATAGCTAATGCTATAAAAAGGTTATAGGTTTCTTAGACCTAGCTATATATATTAAAAGGCTCTTATTTATCTTAGAAGCCTTTTATAATATATAGCTATATTAGTGCCTTAGCTACCTAAGGATCTTTAGTAATAAGCTAGCTAACTAGCTAGCTAAAAAAGGCTTAGGGGCCCCTACTTAAGGGACCCCCTTAGTCTTTATTAGCTACTTATAAAGAAAGGTCCGGTAAGCTATTAAGGACTATTAAAAGGGACTCTAGGCTACTAAGGCGGCTAAAGGCCCTAGGGCTAAGGGCCTAGGTAAGTACTATACGTTTATTTAAAAGACCCCCCGCCTAGCCCTTAGCCTAGAAAAGGACCTTATAGGGAGGCCTAGGCCGACCCTCTCGGCCTTTTACTAGCTCCTCTTTAGGGCTAGCTTATTATTTTCCTTCCTAAAAAGGACTAATAAGGTAGACCGAGACGACTATCGCTATAGCTAAGGAAGGTATATAGCTAAGCACCTTATCCTAAGGTACTTAAACTATAGGAGGGAAAGAGAGGTCCTTTACTAAACCTCTAAGAGATAGAAGGGGGCCCTTAGCCTACCTATTCTTTATAGCTCTAAGGAAAGAAGGGAAGCCCTTCTAACCTTCTTAGCTAAAATAGAGATAGGGATAGCTAAGTAGCTCGAAAAGGAGTAACCTAGGGGCCCTAGGGCCCTTAAGTAGGAAAATCACCGCGCGGGAGGAACTAGACTAACCTTTCCTTTATTATTGCCTTTATAGCTACCCTTTCTCTAATTAGTTATAAGCCCCCGGGCTCTATAGCTAGCTAGGGCTGCTAATAGGGGCCTAGGCCCCTACTAGCCTCGCCATGGCCCTAGAGGCTGTATGCGAGTAATAATGTATAAAAAAAATGTATTATGACTACGACTTAGGCAGATATCGCTAAAGTCCTAAAATAGATGTCTGGTCTCTCCTCGTCACCCTCGCTAGCATGCTGAACGCTATGAACTTTAACGGAAGTCAGCTCGCAGCTCGTTGGTATACAGACGTCCTCGCTTTTGTCCGAACTGCTGCGGTCAACCATCTCAACGGTCTCAAGCCCATGGCCCGCGAGCATCCCGAGCAGAGAGCCTCGGAAGCTCAAATGCTCGTCCTGCATTTCGGCGGCGAGGGCTTGACCGCGCGCCGGTCCGACGTGGGCCCCATACCTCCAGCTTCTACACCACCACCACCACCAGCCGACCTCTCACCACAACCCGGACCTGCACCCCGAAATGTCGCTGGCCCCTGGGTGGACGAATCACAGCCAGCTGATCCACCCATCCATTGGAAGCCAGATGATGAGCGTCCTTCGGAGTGGAACACACCTCACCAACTGCCCGAGCCCGGACCGTCTAGGCCACAGGATTTGCGGTGGCCGCGACGCCGAGGAGAGACTACATGCAGAGTTGTAAAGGTGAAATCACTCAGGTCGCATCATAATAGGTGACTACGTGCAGACCTCGGATGAGCATGCTTGGACTATATGAGTCTGGAGACGCAAACGAGGAGTCTTGAGCAAAGGGCGCGAAGAGATCACCACAGCGGTTACGGTGGAATTTGCTATTGTTACATGGGGAGTTGGGGACTAACGGCCAGTTGAGAATCAAAGAGCCTGAAATATTTGTTACTCGTTTCAGTATATGAATTTCATAATGAACGAGTAAAATGCTTCGCTTTCAGTTTTCACCGGGCACCCACGTCGGCCGCGCCGTCGTTATATTCGGCCTCGACCTCGCCGACAAGTCGAAGTCGTTGATGTTAGGCCGTGACGCGGTGATGCCGGCGACTGAAGTCTTGTAGCCCTGAGCTTGGTGCCGGTAGAGCGGCGGTGGCGTGTCCCTCTCTAAGCAGTGATTGTCTTGATGTGCGACTTGACGACATCACGTCAATCGATGCCAAACAGTCGCAGCCTTGGAATATTCACGACTTTTGCCGTAGATCTTGTTTTGCCCGATGAGTTCATCATCATGTCGACATAGGGAAACAGTTGCACTCATACCAGGGCCGCGTCGGCGCTTCATAAAATATCCTCCCAAGATGCACTTCCTCCTAAAATGGAAGCTCTTTTGTGGTGAACCTGCACTTTGTCGTAAATGGGTAGAAGTGGCTAGACGGTCATCAGAAATGCCGTAGAGCTATTTTGAGGCTCATCTCTTGACAGGCCACTCCAAAAGACGATGTGCGGCAGCGGATGGCTTTTAGTGATGGAAACGTATGCTTACAGAAATGGTCTCCCCAGGCCTCGATACAACAACATTGAACATGGCAATAGCAGCAATAGCGGCGGGCGGCAATAGCAGCAGCGGCGGCGGCGAGGTAAAGGGCCGGAAAAAAGTCGGATTAATAACCAACCAATAAGAAGTAAGATATAGTGACCAATCAGAGGGCGGCATTTCCGGGGGGGGGATTAATAGCGGCGTTTTTATCCCCGATAAAAACTAATAGAACTGTTAAGGAGAGTAGGTATAAGAGGCTATAGTTATACCTAGTAGACCTAATAGTTATATAGAAGGAAGCCTACCTAACTAATATAACTCCCTTAGCCTAAGGATATTATATAGGCCTAACTTAGGTATAAGAATATCTTAATACCCTTTTTTAGCTAGCTATATATAGTTACTATACCTATATAAGCCCCTCTCTTATCTTAATAAATAGACTAAGATATATATTACTAAAGAGTATTACTATCTATATAATAGTATATTACTATTTATATACTTAACTTATTTTTAAGATATATACTAAAGCTAGCCCGCCCTACTTATTTATACTACGCGCGCTAAGTAAGTACTTATACCGCTTAAATACCTATACCCGCGCCTACGCCCGCCTATATATATATATAACCTATATATATAACCTATATATATAACCTATATATATAACTTATATATATATACTAAATTTAAAGCTATTACTAGCGCTATAATAGACCCCCTTCTCTCCTTCCTTAATATATTAAATAATACCTACGATGCCCGCGATACTTACTAAGAATATAAAGATATAATCCCGCCCCTACTACCTTCCCTAGGCTTTAAAACCTATAATAAGGTATATAACTTTGTCTAAGGCTTCCTTTATAAGAACGGCGCTATAGTTATTAAGCGGTTAAGTATATATAAGCGAGATATTAATAGGGTCTTTATTATAATATAACTCCTCTTTATATATAATTATAGCCTATAGCGAGCTTCTTTAAGTACTAAGCTATATAAATCTTTTACTTAAAAGCTTAGGTGCCCCTTCTACCTTATTATAATAGCGTTATATAATAAAGAAGCTTAAAAGTAGGATTCTTATATTACTAAGGATCGCTATAACTATAAGCCTTTCCTTAATCCCTCTATATATAATATTTATTACCGGCGGACTAATATATAGTAAGCTGAGCCCCCGGAGAGAGACTACTGCCTATAACCCTAGGCCTAGGCTAGCGAGCCCGGGCCTGCGCCGAAATGCGAATACGCGGGAGAAGCCCGCGGCAGCCGGCGTAAATTTCCTATATACTGCTACCACGACCTCGTTCGAGGCGGACCCGCACCGAAAGAGGGGAGGGTTTTCCCCTAGGCACTTTAGTTTTTCCCTCCTATTTAACATCGAAGTTCTAGATACCTCTAGCTAGGTCCCTAGCGTAATCTTAATAATATATAGTAAGCTCTTAAGCGGAACCTCTCTTAATATAAAGTACTACTTCTCGCGAAGAGAGATACGAGAAGTATATATAAGATACACAAAGGTAAAATTAAAAGTAAGGGGTCGGACAAGTAGGGCAGAGATATTTAAATCTTACGGGGGCAGTAATAAAGGTAGGGGAGTGATTATTATATTGCCTTAATTTTCCTTCTTTCCTCTATCTAACGCCCCTCTTTATACTCGTCTAGCATCTTAATTAATAAAGAAGATCCTGCTTAAAGAAGCTACTAATGTCCTTTTAACTACCGAGCCTTTTGCTAGGTTTTCCCCTCCTTTCTAGCCGTTGCCGGCATATCCGTCTTATCTCTCGCTACCTCTATAGGAAGCTATCGCTACTTCTGCTTCCCCTTATGCCCCTACCCTCTTCTCTATACCTCTTTTTAGCTCCTTCTTTAAAACCTATTTTTTAGCTTCCTAGGTCCCTTATACTAAGAGATATCTCTAAGAACTACGAAATTAGGCCACGCTTCGCGACACACCCCCTTAGCTATAGCCTGCCCTTATAAAAAGGGTAAAGCTAAATATAGCTTCGGGCTAGTAAGCGTATAGAGGAGGTCTTAGTCTATACTTATCCCCTACTCGAGAAATCCGGGTTTTAGCCCTGGGCTCTTTTAGACCTACTTTAGGAAAAAGGGGCCTAAGGAGGAAATTAAGTCCTATAAGAAAAGGGGGCTTCTCTAAGGATAAGTCCCTGCAAAGGGGGCCTTTTAAGAAGAATAAGTCCCACTAAGCTAGGGCCCTCCTTTAAGATAAGTCCTAATTCCTCTCTTCGGCTATAGACGTCTCCTTCCTCCTACGTACTATTAGCTCCTCTCGTAGATTCTTAAGGCGGGCTTTTAAGGATAGCTTCTCTCGAACATCTTTTAGCCTAATTTACTATAAAAAGACAGCTAGCTTCTACTTCGGTAGGGGCTTTATAAGACCGTTAGCTTTTATCGTTACCGTTAAAACCTAACGGACGGAAATAAGTCCCCTTTAGACCTCTTAGCGTAACTAATACTAGTAAATATCGATATACCGTAGCCGGGTCAATAGCTTACTATTTTCCTCCGTAAGAATTCGTATAGTCTATATGTTATCGCATTCTATAGCTAATAGGGACGGAATTTATAGTTATAAAGATATTAGTAGCCGGCTAAGGAAAATCGTATCTTTTAACGCTTCTAAAAGAGCTAGTAGCTCTGCCTCCGTACTTAAAGTTATAACGGTAGCTTACTTCGAAGCTCTCTAAGCAATAGTTCCTCTAAAAAGGGATATAATATACCCTTATAAGCTCTTTCTATCTAAGGAATTATCTATAAAGAACGAATCGCTTAAATAAAGGAAGATTTCGGTAGCTAATTTCTTCCTTTCCTACCCTCCTAGGCGTAGACTATATCTCGTTAAATAGAGATAAAGGATAGCTCTATCTACTACTTCTTAATGCCTAGGGCTAGGATTCTAGTTATACTTAGCTAGCTAGGAGACCGTAAAAGAGATATCCGGTCTAGTAGAAATTGTCGCGTATACTATATACGTTAATTAACGCTGTCGCTTATATCTAATAGGCGGCTATATCTTTTTCGTGATAGTTATAAGCCCGGGCGGAGGGGTTACCCCTCCGGGAACTTCCCGGTAACTGCGCACGTACTTCTTCTAGCTAGCCTAGCGCGTACTACCTAAAAGGCCCGTAGTTCGAGTCCCGCTAGCGCAATTAAGCGCGGTTTTAGTATAGGGCCTGCCTATATAAAAATTCCCGCTATAGTCTAGGATATCTAGGTATCCCGGGACGAATTAACCCGATATCCCTAAGGGGGTATATCGCGTATACTATATACGTTAATTAACGCTATTGCTTATATTTAATAGGCGGCTATATCTTTTTCGTAATAGTTATAAGCCTAGGAGGAATAGAATTCCTATACCTTCCGGCTACTATAAAAGGCACCTTTCTTATATCCCTTATAGCTTCCTTTTACCCCTCTTATTAGAAAAGCCGATTTTTACTTAACTTTTCTATCCCCCCTCTTCTATAATAATAATAAAAACCGACTCCTTTAGTCTTCTTTAATAAGCAGGACCCTCTCGAGCCTCTCTTTATCCTAGGGCAACGGAATTTATAGAGGAGTATCCTTCTTCTCCGAGCTAACCTCCTATAGTAGAGAGCTTTTTCTGCTGCCTTAGGTAACTACGAGAGTCACTATATGAATAACTTTACGAGATAAAGCTGCTAATTATATGCACGGCAATAACGGAATCCGTTAGTACCGTAAAGCTAATTACTTTAAGAGGAAGAGACTCCTAGGCAGTGGCTTTAAAGCTCGAGACCTTAATAGCTCCTCGAGAGGTTATATAACTAACCGTATTAGGAAGACCTATACGGCCTACCTAGGAGCTTTTTTGCTAGGAACCTACTAGCTTCTTCGTGGCTAGCTAAGTAGGAAGAAATCCTCGAGGAAGCTAACTAATACTTCCTTATAGAAGCTCTTTCTAGCTAGTAGCTACGGGATATATCTCTACTAATAAAGCCTATTAGTAACGGTTACTCGACTATCTTTCGAGAGGCTAGCCGGGAACTAGATAAAGAGGCTACTAGAGTATAATAGCAAGCAGTCTTATTCCTTCGTGGCTAGCACTCGACCTAGACGGCTCGACCTGCTGCCCCTATAGCTGCTGCAGCCCCTATTACTGCGGCTCCCGCCTGCTGCTGCTGCGGCTGTTGCCCTTTGGCCCT